TAAATTTTTTATTCTACTTTATACTAAACGTATAATTTTTTTATTAGTTTTATTACAAAATGTATAATATATAAATTTAGTATTATACTTATTGTAGTATACTATATACTACACACCTTTAACCAACTATACTATACATGTTATTGTAATACCGATAGAAGTAGTGTGGTAAGTTAGTTAATATATAACATATATATACGTACTTACGTACTTACGTACATACATATATTCATATGTACATACAGTTAACAACGACTTATCTAAGGTCATCTTTGTATCAAGTAGTATATATGTATTTCGTACATATATTCATATGTACATACAGTTAACAATAATTTATCTAAGGACATCTTTGGCGATTAGTGTGCTCTTAATAGTTTAGAATATGTACACAGTAAATACAAACCTGAAAAGGAAATTCATTAATTTATACGTATGACGTTAAAGGTAGGGTTAGGATTAGAGAGTTTGATTTTTACGAGGTTCATCAATAGTTGCCGTCCAAAATATGTGATGATTGGCATCACATATGGTTTTAACTTGGTCTTAACCTAGTTTTAACCATATGTGATGCTAATTATCACATGGTTTGGATAGTTTGGACGGCAACTATAGGTTCAGTATATAAAAAATATTAATATAGAGGACTAGCGGTATTCCGCCATTGTGGTAATTAACAAAACAAACCCATTTTAATAAAATTGTAGTTTAAACAAAATATAACAAATCTGTTAAAAAAGATTTTTAATTAAATTTATTAGTTTTTTTGTGTTAAAACACTTTATAAATATATATATATATATAAATTAACTATCTAGTATTTACAAATAAATTTTTATTTTATTTTTAAAATACTTTTTTTTTAATTCTAAAACCTTTAGTATAAAGATCTTTTAATTAATGCATTAGAATTTGTAATTCATAAATTTGTTATTTATTTTTAAATTAGTAAATAATATTTTTAACTTTAGTATAATATTCTATGAATTTAAGATAATATATAAATATTTATCATTATATACATATATTTAATCTTTGTATCTTACAAAGAGTTATTAAGATTTTTCACAATTCAGCATTAGCAGTTTAGCAAAAAAAACCAACACTGCCTTTAATGTGTTACCATACAGTATGACATGACATACGTGCTTTTCTATATTACTATTGTAATTTTTATAAATGCATAAATCGCCGATATAAAAAAGAACAATTGGGTATCTGGCTGATTATTTTTTTTTTGACCGGATCAGACCTCTACAATCAAAGTTTGACATTGGACAATATCCAAATAAAGTGGTATTGATTCTATTTTTCGTATTTTTTTAGTATGTAATTTCCTAAATTCATTACTCGACACCACAGACTGTATCCACCCTTAAGACAATTGAGATATATACTTATGATCTATTTTTGGAAATTTTTAATAATAATAAATGAATGCTTCACGTTTATCCTTTTCATTTAACATTCTCCCTATAAACAAAGCCTCATGTATCTATATCAGCTGATGTTTGGATATTGAAAAGGATACAGTTTAAGAAAATCATGTACATTAAGAATAGCTCATAAAAAAGTCCAGCAACATTAAAGCATAAAGTGTTTATTATTCCACGCGAAGGAATAAACAATACTTATTTGGCAGGTAATGATGCCCTTATATGCGTGCGTAAGTTGTTTCTTAATAATTATATAGCGATAACAGTTTAGAATCAGAAGATTGATTTCTGTGCATAAGTAGTACATAATGCATGGCGTAATCTTCTCATTTCTATAATAGTTAAAGACTAACACTAATGTCTATCAAGATCTCAAATTCACAGTTCGGACTTACGGTTCATTATATAAAAGGTGAAATTTGATTGTTCTTATGACCTCGCAACTTAAAATGGTATAATAAAATATTAAAACAGAATAAACAATCATTTGCTTTTTATTTATTTAATTTTAAACAGAATAAGCAATCATTTCTGCTTTGTGATACGGTAACAAACGCATTTAACATGAGCGATAATCTTTTTCTTCCATTGCTTTTACCATTAGTTGAAGAAAAATGTCAAAAACAACCCATACCAAGAAAGAAACCAGAGTAGGTGATGACGGCAATGTCCACACAGTTACCACTACCACTGTCACTTATTCTGGGTCTGGTTCTGGTTCGAAATACTTTAATACAAATATAAACGACTTCTTGGCCGACAGTAATTTTGGCGAGGACTTTGGCAATGATTTCTTTTCAAAAATTAAGCGTGTATCTTATGAGAAACCACATGAACAACCACCACACTTACCAAAAGAGTATTCGCTTTACAAAAAACCAACACAAGAAGTTGAATATCTCAAGTCTGATTGTAGCGGACATAGAAGAGCACTTTTGATTGGAATAAATTACATTGGTACTAAATACAAATTGGAAGGTACTTAATAACGTAATATTTAGGTCGTTTGAAATTATAATTTCTTTTAACGTCCTTTATGGAGTTTAAGTGCAGTGGGACGCTAAAAAATAACCTATTATCATTGGCCTGCACGCAATCACGTGACTCAGGAAATCTCGAAACGAAATGGGCGTTCTGATTGGCTTGTTTAATCCCGGGGGAGTTCCTGGAGGTGGAAGGGAAAACGTTAAATGAAATTATAATTTCAAAATATAATTTGAATTATTAATCTTAAAATTTGATTTTGATTTTAGGTTGTATCCATGATGTCGAGAATATCAAAGATTTCTTGATAAACCATTATAAGTTTAAAGAGTCGGATATTACGGTTTTAACTGATGATCAACATGATCCGTCAAGAATTCCAACAAGAGAAAATATCCTTAAACAGATGAGAGCTCTTGTTGCTAATGCTCGACCACACGATTCGTATGTATTTTACTTAATTATATTTTATTAGTTTATCTTACACGTGAATTTACTTGTTTCTCCGGAAATTTGGCAGATTCTTTTTACACTACAGTGGCCATGGTGGTCAACAAGTAGACACAGATGGAGACGAAGAAGATGGTTACGATGAAACAATCATGCCACTCGACTTTCAAACACGTGGTCAAATCATTGATGATGTAAGTTTCATCTATTGTAACTATTTGTTAATTTTTTAAAATTAACATTTTTTACCCTGTTACAGGAAATGCATCATATACTAGTGGATGGCCTCCCAGCTGGTATTATTATCCGTTCGACGAAATCAAAATTAATACCTTTCTGACATTAATATTATTAAATTTAAAAGGGTGTAGATTAACGGTGGTATTTGATTCATGCCATTCTGGCACAGTACTTGATTTGCCGTACGTGTACTCAACTCACGACAGAATAAAAAAACCGCATATAATTAAACATGCAATAAATGCTGGTATTAAGTATATACAAGGCGACAGAGAAGATGCTAAATTAGTTACAGCGCAAGCATTTGCGGAACAAAAAATTCGCAGGAAGAATCTAGAAACTAAATCAAGTCCTGCGGATGTTATTATGTTCAGTGGGTATGTTGATTAATTTCATGCTTCCCGAAGTCTATTTTATTCTTGAAAATTTTTCTTAAATTCGTGTAATAATTTAGATGTAAAGATGAACAAACGTCCGCAGACGCTTCTGAAGGCGGATCTGCCACTGGTGCTATGTCACATGCTTTAATTACTACGTAGGTTTATTTTATTTTAATTAATTCTATATATGTTATCCAAGCTCTTATTTTTTCTTTTTTAAATACAGATTGAAACATGATAGTGATCAAACATATCTCTCATTACTGAATAATATAAGAGATATTCTTCGCGATAAATATTCCCAGAAACCACAATTAAGCGCGTGAATATTTTTTCCTTTTTTTTTTTTTTTGGAATATCAAAAAAATGATATGATAAATATAAGATCTTACTAATTTAACTTGCTTTCTTATGCTTGCATATAGGTCTCACCCAATGGATATGAATGAAGTGTTCAAAATGTAATCTGTCATAGAAAAAAAAAATTGGGTAGTTTGTATTCTATTTCATTTTTTACTTTTATTTATTAAAAAATATATATTTTATACGCCGACATGTCAGGGAGTTTATATATATTATATTTATACAAATTTTATGTATTTTTAAAAAAATAAATAAAAAATTGGGTTAAGTCAATATTTATTTTATATAAAATTTAAATAGTGGTTAATTTTGATTGGCTAATTTTGCATGGTTGATTTTAATTGGTTGATTTTAAACATACAGTTAACTCTGTACCGTCCGTTCTTATATTATAAAGTTCGGTTCTCAAAGAGGTATTATATGCTAATCCGAACTTTATAATAAAATTTACAAATGTCTTAGAGTTTTAGGTTCAGATTAGAGAGAATTTAATAGTGTTTGGATTAGAGAGGTTCGGATTAGAGAGAGTTGATTGTATATGTCTGTATGTTATTGAAAACTTTGACTTACAATAACTTATTTAAGCAAAAAATAATAAAAAGTTCTGTGGTTTAGTTAAAAAAAACTATTAGTGTGTCATATGTTTTTGATATACTGTAGTTTGTTTTTAAAGTTAAAATAATTTAAAGTTTCTATTAATAATCTGTAAAGGTAGTTACTGTAGCATAAGATTTGGGGCTTTGGACATTTTATTTGAAACATCCAGCGTTAATTATTTAATTTTGTTCAATACTATGATGCATTTTAGTAAATTCGAAAAATAATCTTTGATTTTGAAGTCGAACATATATACAGTATATAGTTGTTATATACTAAATATATACTGAAGTCAGAGATTACACATCAACATTTGGATATATGGACAATGTCTAATTGTCCAAATAATTTAATTGGGCATAATAAATATTTTTATTAGACATAAAATATTTTATCAGTAGCTTACTGTGAAAGTGTTTGCAAAAGCTCGAGACACTTTGCAAGCTTGATCATTTTAAACCACCAGATAGCACTGTTATTATATGCTACGCAGCCAATAACTTGTTTATTTGGCTGCGAATTTACATGAGTCATTTCTGGGCTCTTCTAAAAGATTTATTATATAAAAGAATAAGTGGTTTACAAACTGCAATATAGCATATATTATTTTCAAATTTACAAATAGCGTAAGTCATAATTGATGTAATTGAAAAATAACACAGGAAATTTTAATTATCCTGGTTTTTTTGGATAACTAGATTTATTTAATTTTACTATTTAGCATATTGAACTTTATTCAATAAAATTACTGGACGATTGGACATATGTCCAATTAATACAATTGGACTATATCCAATTAATTTCACAATTTTATTTGGACATTGCCCAATGTCTAAATGGTCCAAAAATAATTTAAATTATTGGACAAATTGGACATGTAAGTCCAAAATGTCCAAAAATCCAATTAAATTTATTTGGACATTGTCCTATACCAACACTGACTGAAGTACATGTCGCGGTCAGCGTTTAAAATTAGCTTGCACAAGACGCACATGTGCAAGAGCTTTTTCTAATTGCGAGAAATTTTATAAAAATTTACACAAAGTGGTCAAGTTTGAAGAGTTATATATTTTTGTAAAAACTATATTTTGCAAGTAAAAAAATTTTTTACTCGCAATTTACGCAAATAAGTTTTGTTCTAAATTTTAAACGCTGGTTGCGGTATTTTGAATACCATCAAATCATTTATTGGATATTGATTTTCAAAATGTATCAGCGACTAAAAAATAGACTGCTTTTTTTACTTCGACTTTTTCTTTTGACGAACGAAAAGAGGAATGTTTTTATGTCTTTGCAAGCATATCAGCTATCTCTTTTGTGTTCGCTTGGTAGCGTTATCAAATAGCGCTCTTTTTGACATACCAATAAGGGGGTGTGTTTTGTCTTTAAAATTTCTTTCTTTTTCACCTGCCAAAATGAGTCCTTTAAGGCTCTAGTAAACAAAAGGAAAAAAAGAAACTAGAGAAAACAAGTCGAACCTTACCTGGGCGGTTATATAGACCGAAATGATGGAATATAAACCATCATGAACGTACAGTGCGGGACATCATAAACCAACACCTTTTACAAAAATTGATATAACCTTAAAATAAAAAATTTTTTAAAAAATTTTTTTAGCCAATTTGTAGCTTTAAGTCTAAACTACAATTTGGCTAGAAAAGATTTTTTTTTATTTTAATTTTAAGAAGTTATATCAATTTAAAGTTTACTAAGGAATTGAAAATTTGGCGTTTAATATATAAAAAAAAGAAACTCATGTTATTTTTGACCAATCACAATTGATTATATTATATTAGCCAATCAGAATTAAGTATTTGTTTTGAAATTTGGCGCGGGTGTTGGTTTATGCTGTCCTGCACTGTACGTATGTATTAGTTATCCGGTGCCCTATGCGATCACTGAATGATTTTTGTGTAGTTTACTCGGTCATCTCATAAAACAAATATGCAAATGTTCACTTACCTCGTAAGTTGAATTTTGCATATTGTATTAGGAGGTATAGTTGTTGTCCAAGGACGTTCTAAACCATGTTTTGATTTGATTAGCATTACATTGGTTTTAACCAAGTTTTGACCACCAGTTAAAACTAAGTGATGCTAATTATCACATGGTTTCAAATAGTTTGGACGGCAACTATACGAATAGGCTACAAGTCATTCAGTGATCATATAGGACATGTCGGATAGCTATCAGTCGAGTCTTAGTAATTGATAACTGATTTTTTCATAGTAGATATCCTAGTGAATAATCAATTATTATCCATGACACGACAGATAACTAGTACAATGTCTTTTAGCCGCAGTGTTATACAATAGTGAAATACATTACTATAGTGCGCTTTGAAATTAATAAATAATATCGGTAGAGGTTAAAAAACGACACATAACATTTATATTTGACTTCGAATGCTGTTTTTTATTTCAATAATACGTTGTCTTAGCTCATACAATACAATATACACCTTATCATACCTAACTAGGATCACATCCAGTCAACAATTTATAAATTTCGACATATCTTTCCGAAACTTTTTGAACAATATTTTCAGGTAACTGAATGCTAGTTTTTCTATCAAATTCAATACTTAATAGGTAGTCGCGTAAATATTGTTTGTCAAGACTGTTTTTAAAGTTGACCGAATAGTATTCCTGTTAGTTTCCTATTAGTTATGAGTGTGTTACAATGCTTGTGCAATTATATGTTTTACCTATCCTGTTTTTCACCAACTTTGTAATTCGAAGAAAGCCAAAATCGGGATGAGTCTTTCGTATGAATAAAAAATAAAACAAAATAGAAAATTAAGGAATTAACCCTTTAAAATATCAGTGTATTAACTAAAACAGAGGCAGAATCAAGAATTGTTAAATACCAGGAGTTAAAACTTCATCCACAAGAAACAGATTTCCATCAGAATCAGCACCGAATTCGAATTTTGTGTCTGCTATAATTATCCCTTTATCATGTGCGTATTTACTAGCCTATTGACATTACTTTATTAGTGAACAGCGTAACTTAATCTCGTTTAAACTATGGATTTAATAATGTGTGATAAACACTTTGGAATATAATTTTACAGAAGTTTCAGCAATATCATGTGCAATCTTTTCTCCAACAATTTCAACCACTTTAATAAAATTGATGAAAGAAAATAACGGTTAACAAAATGAATCTCCATAAATAACATCTATAAGGGATGGTAAATTTGTGTAAAGTTACCTTTATCAGGATGAATATTTTCATCTAAAACGTGTATGTGTGTACGTGTTATGTATGTTATTAACAGTTGTTGTTAGTAAAAATATATTCACTTCGTTTTTAGTACAATGAAATTACATAATTACCGTGACTACCAATTTCTGCTTTTGTACTAGGTGTATAAAGAGGCTTCTCGAAACTCTGACTCTCCAATAATCCTTCAGGCAACAGAATATCACACACGCTCCTTTTCTTTTTATATTCCAACCAAGCAGATCCTATTGAATAACATTCTTTCATTCAACGCTTACAAATCAAATTATATAATGTATGACTTGATCTATTAACTTACCAGTAATGTATCCGCGTACAACGGCTTCAACTGGAAAGACTTTTAGATTTTTTACCAACAAACATCGATTTTCAAGTTGATCTCGATATTTTTGTACACTTGCTGGCATTTTATTGAAGTCACTGGTAATTAAATGATTAGGGATTATATCACTCAGATAGTTAAACCAGAAGACACTGATTTGGGTAAGAATTTTTCCTTTTCCTGGGATACCCTTTGAGATATAACATGGATCGACAAAAAATAAAAGATTGGGTTTTTAATTTAAAGCATGAATATAGTGTATTGAAAGAAACTAGTTTCGGAGATATTTGTCAAGACAACTTAATTTGGACATATGGGTGAACACAGAGCTAAGAAATATTTCACTAGAAATTTTATATTTTACAGAAACTTGCATTTTTCATAATAACGTCGAAAGCACTCATTCGGTCAGTGGCAACGAACAGTAATGTTGCATCATCGATACGGTATAAGTCTCGAACTTTACCGCGGGTTAGTAGGTCCAAGTCAGGACATACACTTTCGAGTAATGCCATATTTTTGTGAAATTAAGTTCGAGATTATCCATGATTTAAAAAAAAAAAAAATCATGTGAATAATTCCATATTTGGTCGATTTCATCTTTGATAAAAAATGTTTGTAAAAGTGTCACGGTCACTATTTCTTTCCCGAACTCTCGGCAAAGCCTTCATTCGTCATATCTATTCACTTAACGAGTTAATTTTCTACACGATATTAAATTAATTTAAGTTTCAAGGTCATTTAGATTTTATGACAGTGACTAGCATTTAATTATATGCTTTTTTGTTTTTTTTACTAACATAGCCTTGCCTTTTGTCTTTTTTTTTATTAGAACTTCGAAGTGTCGTCTCTCTCCAGAGGTTTCGCCCTTTGCCGGGAGGTTCGCTTTTTGCCGGGGATTTCACCTTTCGCCAAAGGTTTCGCCTTTCGTCGAGGGTTTCGCCTTTCGCCGGGGGTTTCGCCTTACGCGAGGGATTCCCGTCTTTCACTTTTCACCGGCTTTAGGTTTCGTCTTTCACCATTTAAGAAAATGGACACTCCTAACTACAGTAGTCTTACTACCTTAGGTACCAAAGCTGCCCCTACAACTACCGAAGAATTGAAACGTTGGAGTTGGAGATGGTGGAAAGAGTGGGCTATTATTTTTATTGTTTTCGGAATTACTGGGTCAACAACTGTTAGAATTGTTAGACCTGTGTTGACCAATATATTAGGAATTGAAGGTGAGAAGGCTCTACTATTCAATTAAGATTAATTGACTAATGAATTAACATTTTTAACATTATCAATTTAATTTATAGGAGGCTTCATAGACGGACCATGGACATATAGGATCTCGTATCTTTGCGTTACTATTCCGTTATATTCACTTATTCTTTTTATTGTAGGGACTATTTTTCGACGGCAGGCTTATTTCAAAAAGATCGTTTTTAGGATGTATGGAAGATTCATTCCTGAAAGATTAATTAAACGTATCCGTGGTGGTCGTAATAATGATAACAATATAGTTTAGTCACAACATAAAAAACTTATTTAAAAAAAAAAAGAGATTTTTGTTTATTATCAATTATGTCTAAAGAGAGGCCTTAAATAAAGGGATCCAAAAGTGAGTTAAATGTAACACTTTTTGAATGTCATTATTTTAATAATATTATATTTATCTGCTATAATGCTTAAATCATCATAAATTAAATCAGTTATGCAAACGTATCAGGTATGTATGTACGTATGTATCAGTACATACCAAATAAGTGATTTGATCTATTTTTGCTTGATCGTGTTGAAACCAGTGTCTGAAATTGGGTTGCGGAGTCTGCGGACCGCAACAAAATATTAAATTCCCGCAACCAAAATCTGAAGTGCACATATAAATAAAATTGAATTTCAGACACTGGTTGAGACAAATCTGTCACTCAATGTTAACACTCCGATCTAGTTCAGTCTGACTGTCACTAACTACTGTATGCTAAAATTTGGATCTACTTTGATATAATTAAATTTTTTTTAAAGATTAAATTGGATTTAACGTTAAAGTTAATAATAAAAGAATAAACGTGGATTTCAATGGAGCTTATATTTACAAATAAAGATCCCAAATTTTAACATCAATCATGAAGAATGATCTTACCACATAAATGACCAGATTGATGATAAGATTTTTATGAACCCAAAATCGGTAAAATCCAATCACAGAATCATAAGATTTGTTAATGTTCAAGAATTGATTAAATTAACCTTTAATGAACTTATGATCCAGTGAAAAGATTATAATCGTTTTAGCAAAGTAGCCATTTTGGTAGTAAAATCATCCAAAACAAAAAAGCTATTTGTATTCTACCGATTGGACTGGAAAAATAACTGAGCTGGACATATGAAAGTCCAGTTCAGTCCTGTAATCTGTAAATCGTAAAAGATTAGAAGCCTCCTTTGCTATTAAGCATAAAGTGATACCAAGGTTATGTTTTTGATCACACTTAGGGCAGACCAATTTGATTTTCTGTTTAACATAACATGAGATGACTTGTATAAGAGGGTGGGTAGAATGTAATCCGTTATTCATTTACTGTTCAAAATTTAACGGATATCCGGATTCATCATAATAATTTTGATAATTTTGTTATAAAGTTAAACTGGTGGATATCTCTAGGGTGGGGCATTAAAAAAATCAATAATATCAGATAAAAAATCAATGCTGCAATTCTATTGGTTAGTTAATGTGTATTAGCTCATTTAGATTTTAGAAAATACCTAAATAGAAGGGGTTATGTATTATTATAGATAAATTATGGAAAACTGAAGAGTTTTCCGATAACTGAATCAATAAGTTAATGAATCAGTAAGAAACTTCCATACCAAAATACATTCGAACATGCTATGAAGGTTCTACACTAGTGGTGCAGGCGATGATGCCGTAACTATCTTTGTAATATGTAATTATTATTATAATGAGTTACGATATTTTTGCCGTAACTTTATTATGTTACGACAAGTTACGGCACCTCCATTCTACACTATGTATAGTTATAACTACCTGGCAAATTAAAATCAAACCTAAACCCCAACTATAAGTCCAAACAAAATTAAGTTCAATCCCAAATTTAATTTATCGCTGTTTTCGAAATGGTTGAAAATGACCAACAAAAAATTTTTTGTGAATACTATAAATACTTGAATACTCGATTACATTGGCACAATAATCACATTGATCAAAAATTGATTCCAAATTATGTACGTATATATAATACAGTCAACTCTGTCTATTCCGAACCGTCCGTTCTTATATGTAAAATGAGTTATAAAGTTCGGTTCTCAAAGAGGCATTATATGCTAATCCCGAACTTTATAATAAAATTTACAAATGCCTTAGAGTTTTAGGTTCGGATTAGAGAGAATTTAATAGTGTTCGGATTAGAAAGAGATGATTGTAATTGTTATTATAGCTAATGTAATCGAGTATTCATGATATTTACAAAAATTTTTTTGCTTGTTATTTTTAACCATTTCGAAAACAGTGATAATCTAAATCCAAAAAATTTTCTTTCTGGCAACTATATGGGTTGAGTCAATAGAAACCAAACAAATATTTTTTAATAACCTTTTTTAAAACTTTAAACAAGACTAACTTACAAAAACTTAACCAAATTATGTAAAAAATTTTTTAAAATTAATTTTATTAAATTTTGGTTAAGTTCAATTTTATTATAAAAAACTTGCTTGATTTCTATTGACTCAATCCTATATTTTGACGCATCAAAAGATAATTTTATTATAGCGTGGGACTTAAGGTTTGTAGTCCAGCAAAGTATACATAACAGGCAAGTCAAAAACATAAGAATGCTCGCGTGTCTATATTTGTACTTTAATGTAACAAACATACATACTCACGCGTTTGTAACACGTAATACAATGATCATCATTTAATAGGCTCTAGACACACTTCTACGCGTTAACCTGTCTTTACAGTAAAGTTTCATTGAACTTCAGAACTCCTGCTAGTAATCGTTCAAATGGGCCGTTTGGACAGACTTGAGCTTGAAAATTTCAAATCTTATAAGGGACACCAAACCATTGGCCCTTTTCACAATTTCACGTCAGTGATCGGCCCAAATGGTGCAGGTAACTATTTATTATAGGGATTTAAACTCTACTTTATTTAAATATACGTGAAAATGAAGTATTTTTGATTTTAATTTCTCAGCTTACCGCTTTTTATAGGAAAATCCAATCTTATGGATGCTATTTCATTTGTTTTGGGAATTAAATCTGCACAATTACGTTCTTCACAGCTTCGAGATCTAATATATCGAGGTCGGGCCATGCAAGATGATGATGATGATGATGAAGGTGATGATAGTTCAGCTCTTGAATGGCGTGCAAATAACCCAAAGCGAGCATGGGTTATGGCCGTGTACAAAGATGATAATGGAAACGAAATAAAATTTCATAGAAGGTTTTTATCTGATAATCTCATCCCATCCAAGTTAATATGAATAATGCATATAAGTGATAATTCCCAATTTGTAGCATAACATCGACTGGAACAAGTGAATACAGAATTGATAACAAGGTTGTTACCTATGCAAAGTATAACCAAGCCTTAGAACAACAAAATATATTGGTAAAAGCGAGAAACTTTCTTGTATTTCAAGTATGTATTTCACTTCAATTAGCGGCGGATCTGAAAGTATCAAAATACATCTCTAATGTAATCTATGGAATTTGTATAATTTATCAAAGGGTGATGTAGAGGCTATCGCATCACAATCCCCAAAAGATTTAACTAGATTGATCGAACAAATCAGCGGGTAGGTAATGAAATAATACGCTTAACTTTAATAAATTAATCTGACTTACTATTTGTCAAAAATAAATTATATTTGGAAGATCATTGGAATTAAAGGCTGATTATGAACAGCTAAAAATTCAACAAGAGCGAGCAACTGAAAATTCAACATTTAATTTTAACAAAAAGCGCGGGATAAATCAAGATATACAAGAATATCAGAGGCAAAAGGCTCAGGCACAGCAATTTGAAAAGCTACAGAATGAAAGAGTAAGTGCAATAATTAGTTTAATAGAGCATTCGAATATTATACAAGATCATTTAATGTCAATTTTTCTATTTTAGACGCGAATTTCAGTGGATTATCTTTTATGGAAGCTCTATCATATACAAGAAAATATTGATGAGTGTCGTGAGCAGATAGATGGTCATAATGATGTTATTAAAGAAAAACAGCAAGCACAGGTAAGCATCAAATCTAGTTTCTTACAAATTATGCTCCAACTTTTTAACGAAAAATTCCTGTTTGTTAGAAAAAATATGACGCAGATCACAAACAGGCTCGAATGGAACAAGCAGAAATTCACAAAAAACTTTATAGGGTGGAAAAAGAAATTCAATTAAAAGAAAAAGAATTGGAAGAAAAGGTTCCTCTTCTTTTAAGAACAGAAGTTGTCATATTGTCATTATAGATTTTCGATTTTTATAGTATTTTCCTCCTGTTTAATTGACAGCGCCCAGTACTATTAACGGTGAATGAGAAAATTACCTATTCTAATAGAAAATTAACACAATTAGATGAAAATGCTGAGAGAATTCGAAAAGATTATGATCGTCAGGTAATAACGGATGCTTTAAATTGTGAAAATGATTTTAACTAACGAACATGTATATTTTACAGTCGAAACGGGTAGAAGAATTACAATTAGAATTAGAAAATGTGACGAGGGCTGCAGATGATTACGAAGGCATATTATCACCGTGTATAAATTTTATTAACATTTATTCAATATCTTGGAATTAACGTGATGTTTAATATGTATATAGCATCATTAAATGCTGAAAGTAGTAGTAATAAGAGAAGCACAATGCTCAGCGCAGATGAACTCGCAGAATACAATAGACTGTAAATAGCCTTTTAGGTGCATTAATTATTCTAATAATGGAGCGTGCCAATTATTAATTATCATTAGATATTTTTGATATTTAATTTTAGACGAGAACAAGCTAACAAGCAAACAGTATACGGAAAGCAACAATTAGAAAATCTCCGCAGACAAGAAAAGACATGCCGTGAATCTACCCAACGATTAAAAGAGAAGATGGAAGATCTAGATAGACGTCGAAATCAATTAGAGGAGGAGAAATCTGCGCTAACAGATCATAAAGAAAAAGTATTAATATAATTCCTATGTATCGTTTACTTATTTCAATCTATAAATACTAGAATTTTTGTTACGACACTTGGTATTTAAAATTAGGTATCCGCTAATGTAATGCAGTTGCGATCTGATATTGATAATGCTAAAAAAGAACTTAATGCTGCTGTTACAGAACGCGAATCTATTAGGTAAAATTTATGTGTGATTTTTCTTAAAAAGCGTATCTCATTTTATTCATAATATTCTTCTCGCATATATAGTCAACAAGAAATTCGACTAAATCGTGAATTACAAGAAATACTCAATCAACTTACTGTGGCAAGTGTAGATCAGAGAGAATCGGAACGAGAACAAAAAATGAAAGAATGTATAGAAAGCTTGAAAAGAGTATTTTCTGGTGTACATGGGCGTCTTCTTGATTTATTTTCTCCTACTCAGAGAAAATATGCAGTGCCTGTCTCTATTATTCTTGGAAGGAACTTGGACGCAATTATTGTTGATCAACAAAAAATTGCTATTGAATGCATACAGGTTTGTTCTTAGACAATATCCAGTCTTTCCTGATTTAAAATATATAATGCATATATTAAAATTAATTTATGTCATTACGAAAAAGTACATGAGAGAACAGCGTCTTGGTCATGCTACATTTATTCCACTTGATACAATTGTTGTTAAATCAATAAATGACAAATATCGAAGCATCATGAAAGGTGCAAGATTAGCAATAGACGTTATTACCTACAATGATAAACTTGAACGTGCATTTCAATATGCCTGTGGTAATACTCTAGTGTGTGATACACTAGAGATTGCTAAACATATATGTTACGAAAAAAACCAGCAAGTCAAAGGTATTGTATAACGCTAAGACTGTATTTATAAGATTTTTTACCCTATTTTGGAAGTTTTTTGGAATTTAACCCATTTTTATATTTTATGCAGCTGTCACTCTCGATGGTACTATTATTCATAAAAGTGGATTAATCACTGGTGGCCATAGTGATGATATTCTTTCTGGCGCAAAACGGGTAACAGAAAAAAGACGCGCAGATACTATGGATGGTAAGATTTTTTTTTTTCATCATCAATGAGTAATGTGATAGCCATAATTAAGTATTTTTATATTTCTAGCATTAAGAGCTCAGAGAGATGATCTTATGTCAAAATTGAACAATCTCAGTAAGTCAAAGCGAAGAGGAAATTTTGAAGAACAAAAAAAAAGTGAAATTTCTGGCTTAGAATCAAGGCTGGAATTTGCTCAACAGGATTTGGTAATGAATTTGATTATCTTATTAGATTTTCAAGTACATTTTTAAATTAAATTTTATCTTTAATCAATCTAAATTCGAATATTATAAATATTATAGGCAATATCCACAACAAAACTAGCATCCATCAATGATGAATTGGCCGTTATTTCAAATGAAGTTTCACAACTTTTACCAATTTTAGAAGAGGTTTGTTAAAGAATCACATGAACAGGTTTAAATTTTCATTAATCTTCAGCTTAAGAAATTCGGAATTTAAATTGTAGTCTCAAAACGAACTTGTGGTTCTTGATACACAAGTTAATCAATGTGAGAATAATATAAACGAGAAAGAAGATGCTATTTTTCGAGAATTTTGTCGGAAGATCGGAGCTTCTAATATTAGAGACTATGAACAACGTCGATTAAAAATGGCTCAGGAGATTGCTGAAAAAAGATTAAAATTTACAACTCAAAAATCGAGGCTTCAAAATCAGTATGTAGTATATTATTCAAAATTTAATAAAAGTTTGTTCACGATTTAAATATTCTATAAACCTTCCAGATTGAAATTCGAAACTGAACAAAAATCAGAAACAGAGGATCGATTAAATAGACTAGAATCAACTATTCGAGATGAAGCGGATAGGCTCTCTCAGCTCGAAGACGAAAAAAAACGATTGTTAGAAGAGAAGAGACGTATTTCCGATGAGATTTCTGAAAAACAGAGGATACTTAGTGAGATAAAAAGTGAATATGATGTTAAGACTGCTGCAGTCACTTCTTCAAAGCGACTGCTAGTACAAGTCACTAAAGAAATTGACAAATTGATGAAAGAAATTGTTAATATGGTATGAATTTAACAATTAATTGTATAACATTAAGTAAAAGAGCTATTCATATTTACATTAATGTTACTTTTTACAGGAATCGGACATTGAAAAGCTGGAAGCTGATCGATTTTCGATATTTCGTAAATGTAAATTAGAAGAAATAGACTTACCACTCTTGAGAGGATCTCTTGATAATGTCTTGGAAGATTCGGTTTGTTATAATAGTAGTATTAATTTATTGTGGATGTTATGGCGCCTTTATAAATTTAATTTGTCTTTACAGCGAAACTTAGATGATGATGATTTAATGGATACTTATGATGATGATAACTATTCAAGTAATCGAGCAGGACCAAGTACAACTGGCGCCTCTAAAATCGATGTAGACTTTGATTCTTTGAGCGAGTATCTTAAGGAGGTTTGTCTGATTCACTATCGTGAATTATACGTGTGTTACACGATATAAAGGAATTTAACAAGGGTTATATGCATAGAATGATGAGGCAGAAATTGCAAAAGATTTTGAGAAAAAGCTTGACGAAAAAACTGCGAAAATGGAAGAAATTGCACCAAGCTTGAAAGCCATCGAAAGGTAGTTTCGAATACTTAATGAATTTTAAACAAATGACTGTTCATTCTAAAGATAAAAGTTATTTTTTTGAACTAATTATATAAATTTATTAAATGATTATAGGTTGGATGGTATAGAACAACGCTTACGAGAAACAGAAAATGAATTTGATAGTGCAAGACGAGAAGCTAAATCAGCCAAGGAGAGGTTCAATGCTGTTAAACAAAAAAGGTAATACTGTGATTGAATTTCTTTATTATTAATTCTTGATCCGCAATCTAGAATTTCACAAGGAAGAATCGATTTATGCTAAGTAAATCTTTCTTCTACTAATAAAAGTCGTAGAAGAGAGAATTCCGGTCATAACCGTGGTTAAAAGTTAAAATCGGTCCAGTGGATCGCGAGAGATGTACATTTTTGTCTTCGCGACTATATGTTTACTCCTTTGTTTTCTACACGTAATCGCGAAGACAAAAGCTCATATCTCGCGACCCATTGAATAGATTTAATGTTTTAACCGCTGTTAGACCGGAATTATTAGTATAAAATCGATTTATCCTTTGGGAGACGCCAGATTCCAAAAAAGGCAAGAATGATAGTAAATTACCCCACGTTTACTTCCACTGGTTCCCAGGCGGATCACGAATTAAGAAAAATATAATATATATATATATTTACAAAATATTTTTGTTTTAGATATAAACTTTTCCATGCTGCATATGATCATATCGCAGAAAATATTGATAAGATTTATAAGGATTTAACGAAAAGTCGCAGTTTCCCGTTGGGAGGGACAGCGTATCTTAGTTTGGAGGATACTGAGGTACGATATTTGATTCTAATCTTGAAGTTCAATGATTTCGGAAACATCTCTATATCGCAAACTTAATTACAGGAGCCGTACTTGGATGGTGTGAAATATCATGCAATGCCTCCAATGAAGCGCTTTCGAGATATGGAACAGCTGTCAGGTGGTGAAAAAACAATGGCAGCGTTGGCCTTATTATTCGCCATTCACAGGTACTATTTCTTTATATGTAGTACCGAATTCATAAAGTTTTTACTAATAGTTTTATTTTTAGTTATCAACCATCGCCTTTCTTTGTTCTTGATGAAGTTGACGCTGCATTGGATAACACTAATGTTGGCAAAATTGCAAATTATATTCGGGAACACGCCTCAGACACATTTCAATTTGTTGTCATTTCTCTCAAGAGCACTTTATATGAAAAGGCACAGGCACTTGTTGGAATTTATAGAGATCAAGATGTAAATAGTAGCAAGACATTGACTTTGCATGTAAGTATCTTTCTTTAAAAATTTAAAAATAAATTTTTATATTAAATAAAATTTTACTTTTTAGGTTGATAAATTTTCAGGGGTTTTATAATTTGGTGCATCTGCACCGCGGAGCATCCCTTGGTCACGTGATGCGAAAAATACGTACAATATAATAAACTTTATTTTATTTTCTAATTAAGTAAAGAAAGATCACTACACATCCAAAATCGTAGCGCGCAATATATTGAATTGTCACATAGTATATTCAAACGACTACTAAATACCTAATTTATAACAAACTAAACATTAACCTCCTAATGCTGACCCCAACTCTATTATAATTACCAAAATTAGCTTTAACGTTTTTGAACGATGGCACTAAAAATAAAACGCGAAATGGTAATTAATTGGTATTATAATTATTACTTGGTTATTGTTATGCTTTTGTTTTTTGTATATAGATCTTTTTAGTAATTTTAGTCTCTTTTATAAAATAGTGATTATATATAATATTTATAATAATAATACAGTATTGTATAACAGTATATTTATATATATTTATGTTTATCATTTATACATATTTAGTTCTTAATTGTCACTTAAAGTGCTGCTGGGGTTCCAATAATCAAACCCTTATAATTAGTAATATATATTACTTGTTACTTTCAGAATTTTGACATAAATCTGGGGATAGCGATACATCATCTTAGCGGTAAATTACAAAGCCCATATAGATATACCGGTATAATTAAAAATTTTTTATTTAAATATTGCTATTTACTGCTAGTAAAATTCACCATTAATAATTTTTAGGGTTAGGGTGTAGTTTTAGGATAAAAGAAGAGTTTTATATAACATAATGTAGATTAGATATAATGTTCCGATTTTAGTTCTCAGGTTCCTGAAGATTTTTACTTAGACTCCCTGACTTTAATTAGTACGTTTTTGAGATATAGCACCCCGGTGAAGGTTAAAAATTTCCTTGAATATTTAAAATTTAAAAAAGTAGATTACAAAATAGAATTTTGTAAAGCGATGTATCGCTACCCCATTGTCGGGGTTCCAATATTCAAAACCCTCCCAGAGTTATTATTGCTAATCATAAGCGGGGTTTGAATATTGGAAACCGACATCACGTGATGCGACAATTAAATTTCAGGATTTTTGACTTTCAGATTTTTATATAGATCCGGGGGTAGCGATACATCGCTATGGCGGTAAATTACAAAGCCTTTTTAATTTTGTTTATTAACTTTACAGAAGGTCATTGGCTACGCTACTCACGAAAGATACCTAAGAGCTTATAATATAATATATACAGTAATTTATTTGTTATGATATTGCTGCTATTGTCTTGAAATTGTTACTTGGTATTTGCTTTGCTTTGTTATTCTTTAAGGCCACCTCATCGATTAAACGCCCACGAATATAAACTTGAAATAATGAATACCAAAGTCATGGGCAAAAAAATCGCCGGTCCGTGATTGATCCACAAAGTTGTTAACTTTTTATCTAAACGTTGATCTCATGCTAATACGTAAAAAATATAATTCTACCTAACAACTAAATGTAGTTACCATAAAAATTTAGGTTATGAATTTGCTATTTTTAACATCTATGAACTTTAATGCTATGAAATCATGTAAACTGCTTGCCCCAGTTTAAAATTGAGAAATCATTAAAGGCACCAACAAGATTTTTAACTAAACCGTATTTAATTATTTAATTTCTATTCAACCCTTGGACCAGATTAATATTTATTCGTGTATAGAATTTTTTAATACTGTAACTATACCGATTATTGAATGCATGTAGTATTTATTATTATTTGTTCCGAGTTCGACACTATTGATAGAAAATGCTGGTTATGATCCAAATTAAGTAGAAATCCGATTCCAAAATCCAAATCATGTAGTAATGTCGTAGGTCAAAAAAGAAGGATTGGTCACAATCTTAATTCACTATCCTGATTTTTTTCCTCTTCCTTGTCTTTTCTTAGAGTTTCAACCAATTCGTCACCCCATTTCACGAGAATTCGATTTTGAGATTGTAAGATGGTATGAACATTGATAAGGTCGGAGGTGCTTGACTGCAGTCTTCTAAGTAATGATCGAATATTCAAAATTAGATATCGGAAACATTAAGCCATAATAATAAAATAAAGCTGATACATATGACAATCAATAATAGGCGCGTATGGATCCATTTGCTGCAACGCGAAATATCTTCGACAGAAAAAAAATTAGATCACGATTAACCGCAATTCTTATCGAGATCACATAACCAATTTTTTTTTTTTTTTACCTCTTTTCAATGATACACGAGAAACACGAAGAAGTTTGAATGTCAATTATGAAATTTACTTGATCTGTAGATTATTTAGAAAGCATCATCGACCAATCCAGTATCAAGATCACCGTGTAACAAGAAAATAAAATGATGTCGGTCAGGATAATTTGCATCCAATCAGGGAGCTTCATTTTGACGATCCTCAATTACCAATCACATGTGCAGATTGAACCTACCGTAATTTGCGGCAAATAGTACCCCCTTGTTAGTGTACCCCTCACGATTTGTACCCGGGATTAATCAAGTATTTGTCACAAACATGATTGTAAAAGACCCGGGTATATCTAGGATTTCGTTATAATTCTATTAAATGATTGGTCAATTGAAGTATTCTTCTTATATAAACTCCCCCACATAAAATACCCTCCACCTGACAAAGTACTCACTAGATAGTAATCAAGATTTTGCTCCTAGGAATGTAAGAAACCCGGGGTACTATTTGCCGCAAATTACAATAAATACAGATAAATTATATAATACTTCTATGTAAAGTTTGTATCTTCAGTTTACTTGTAGCAGTAATAGTTAAATTGATAAAATAATTATCAAATTACTGATTTGATATATATTTAATTTGTTTACTGATTAAATCAAATCTTCTATTGTGATTAGTGGTGGAATCTCTTAAATTATTAATAATTAGTAATTATTATTACTGTACAGCATGAACTAAAGTACCCAGGGTATTTTACAATTTAAACAGTATATATGGGTATACTATGGTCAGTGTAGGGGTATAAGTTGCACTATATGAGTGTTACAGAAATATTTTATCTATTTTTAGTATACAGGAATTTTACATTCCCAAGTGCGATTAATTTGTCTTTAGTATCTAGAGTACTTTATATTCTAGTCTTTGAAAATCAAGAGAGGTATTAAAAAGGGGTACGCTGTATAGTAACTATTTGGCTGAGTTGTTATTAATTAAAACTATTTAAATAATGTGAGTGCAGTAAATCGATCAAATGATTGATTAATAATTTTTTTTTAATTCGGCAGTCTTGCCAATACTATTTATTAGTATGCTAAAGTATTTGGTTACAAATGTCACATATACAATTACAACTCTCTAATGTTTTACGAGATATTAGCTCACCCGGTTACCAAATTAGTATCTATATGTGACCTGCTATATAAGATTTTACCTTCTTAATAACCGCCCTGCAACTAGACCAGTTACTAAATTACTGGATGGTTCCTAAATCTAATTTTTATCATATATATCCCACTTATATATTACTATACAATGTCTACCAACCAACTTCCATCTTTCATCACTTATCATATTACTCCTAATTCAGTATTTGTATTACTTCCAAATTGGTGTTCTTCGAGTAAGTGCTCTTTATACTTCCAGTTTGGTGTCTTTAGAGAAGTTACTTTATGAGCCTAGCCTTATCTCAAACAGTTAAGTTGCCAAACTAGGATGATATTTCATGTCGATCCAGGTATTCATATTATACATTACCAAATTAGACTACTGATCCTTTTATAGTCTCCCTATTGGTATGGTGTTACAGAAGTCTAGATTCTTAGGACAGGAGTTATGTACCTCATTTAATCACTGTTACAAGCTAGTGATCCAGGACTTGCATTTCTGTCATATTTTGTCATAGACTTCTATATAGGTTGTGCAACTATTACTCTCTAGCCGGTCTTTATTTTTGTATCACTGGATCGCTTGCTTCTATGCTTTTTAGAATTTTTTTTAGCCGGTTTTCCTTGTTTCTTTGTGCCAGAAGTGTTTTATATTTGGTAAAGTCATCCTCTTACTACAGCCCCTTACTATGTTCACTGCTTCTCTTACCACTTCTAGGTATACTGTATACAGCTATACTCCTAAACAAGATTCCAATGCCACCTTAGGATTGTTGGTGCTATCTTGCTAACCGTGAATTCACACGCACAGCCTTCTGTAGTAAACCTTCTGTGACCTTGTCACACATAGTGCCTAGTCTTCTTCATAGCTCGGGGCTCCTTCCAAGAATTCTTTATAGGCCAAATATGTATATCACATGGTCTTACCGCCACAGGGTTTCACATTCAAAAGCTTCTGAAGATTACAGAGATAATTAATTAAATTAATTACTACTAGCTATAATCGAACCATCAACCTTGTCTGTGAAGAGTTAGACACCTAGACCACTAGGCTACGAGACTCTAACCTCAATTAATTAATAATTAATAATTAATTATTAAATTTTTTTTTTTTTTTTTTAACTTCGACGATTTTGTCATTAACTTTATTACTTATTTAAGTGAATATTACATATATTT